ATTTTAAAAAATATTTTTTAAAAAAATCTTGGAAACTCATCCACTGAAAATCCAAATATTAAGTGTGAGAACAAACAAACTAGGTCATTCTGGATTTTCAGGAGGCTCATCACCTTAAAAAAAACCCATAACTAGTTATCTCCTTCACTGTCTGCAGAGTATTTCTTCAGAACTCAAAAATAAATGTATTGCCCTAACAGCGTGCTTTATAGCACTAGACAAATTTAACAGTGAAGTTTTCCAATTGTTTTTGCAACAGAGTTGTTTGCTAGCTACAGTCTAACATAGTGCAAAACAAAAGTATAAACATTAAATTTAAAAATTCTTAAGAATACCTATAACTTCAAAATTTAAATGAATATTTGAATGAACTTACATTAGAGCCAACTTTTTTTTATTTATTTAGCTGTGAATATGTTATCTTTCTTGCTAATTTTGCTTCAGTGCAACTACATAATGTGAAAAATATCAGCTTACCTGACGGTATTCTAAAATTATCTTAGGCAAAGGATGAAGATCTTGCAACTTATTTAGCTGCAAAATAAAGAATGTGAATTACTGGTATACTTTTCTGTCAAGTCATATTATTTAACAATCTTAACAGAATAAGTTTTGGAGGAAGAAATTTTTTCACCACGCTGAATGGACAAAATACTGGCTAAAGAATAATGTCCTTCAAGCAGTCTCACCCTAGGCCCAAGGAAGCCTTCATTCTTTCCAAAAAAAATGGAGATTACCCCTTCCTATTTCATTTCCCTTCCTTTCTCAGACAGGGCAAAAAAGACATGCAGACGTAAAAACTTTTTCACAACAACTTTGAAAACACTGAGGCATTGGGGGGGAGTGGCACTTGTGGTCCTTTGTTTATTTTTTTTTCTAGATAGCATCAATGCAAGAGAGAACATGATAAAAGTATGCAAAATAATACATACATATTTACACACACAAAATCCAACAGGAGAATTTCTCCTGTTCATCCCCTAACACAAATTCCAGGAGACCTTCAAGAAAAATTGAAATTGTCAAATCCAAAAGCAATAAAATAAAGCATATTTCTGATTACTTTGATTGTAAATTGCCATAAAATTTTGTTAAGAAAAAGAATGAAGTTATTAAAATAGAAATTGGATAGTTATAAGTACAACAAAAATATCTGGAACTATAACAGTTCAGGGTGAAAAATAGATGCAACTGTACCAGAATGGAGATTTAAAAGTTTAAGAAAAGGTTTTTTCTTGCTACCAGCAAGAGAGTAGTATTTCGCTATTAGAAGGTTTCAGCCTGCCTTTCTCTAAATAATCAAGCCTCAGCAGCTATTGGAAAGAGAGTACTGGGCTAGATAAAAGCATTGCTTTGATTACTGCAACAAATCTTATGTTCCCACAAAAAGATGACATGCATTCTATTTCACTGATCCCTCCCACCTCCCAAGGCTCTCTGTCACTCTCCAAGATTACATGTTTGATCTATGAAACCTTCTTCTCCTTGAATAGTGTGTGGGGTTTATGGTTATACTGTTGACATTACCTCAGAGATCGTATCTGGTAGTTCAGACACTTGGCCCAAAAGTTGAATTTCCTCTTTCACACATGAGAAACAAATACTACCTTGCTACCTTCCCCAGAGGCGTTCACTCTCAGCAAAGAGTTCTGCACGTTAATTTGACTCCTGTGTAAATTAGAGCAATACAATTGCAGCACCAAATCAGAAACAGGTGCAGCTAGACAGAGGCTTCTTCTCTTCTAAGAAGGAAATTCATTACTATTATTATCTTAAAAAAAATGGTCTATTAATGATCTGGACGATGGGATCGAGTACAACCTCAGTAAGTTTGCAGACGACACCAAGTTGGGAGGAGGGAGCGTTGATCCGCTTGAGGGTAGGAAGGCTCTGCAGAGGGACCTGGACAGGCTGGATCAATGGGCTGAGGCCAACTGTATGAGGTTCAACAAGGCCAAGTGTCAGGTCCTGCACTTTGGCCACAACAACCCCATGCAGCGCTACAGGCTTGGGGAAGAGTGGCTGGAAAGCTGCCCAGAGGAAAAGGACCTGGGGGTGTTGGTTGACAGCCGGCTGAACATGAGCCGGCAGTGTGCCCAGGTGGCCAAGAAGGCCAACAGCATCCTGGCCTGTATCAGAGACAGTGTGGCCAGCAGGACTAGGGAAGCGATCATCCCCCATACTCAGCAGTGGTGAGACCACACCTCGAATCCTGTGTTCAGTTTTGGGCCCCTCGCTACAAGAAGGACATTGAGGTGCCTGGAGCATGTCTAAAGAAGAGCAACGAAGTTTGTGAAGGGTCTAGAGCACAAGTCTTATGAGGAGCAGCTGAGGGAACTGGGGTTGTTTAGTCTGGAGGAAAGGAGGTTGAGGGGAGACCTCATCGCCCTCTACAACTACCTGAAAGGAGGTTGTAGCGAGGTGGGGGTCAGTCTCTTCTCCCAAGTAACAAGCGATAGGACAAGAGGAAACTGCCTCAA